AACGTAACGTAACGTAACGTAACGTACGTACGTACGTACGTAGTAGTACGTAGTAGTACGTAGTACGTACGTCGTACGTCGTACGTACGTCGTACGTCGTACGTCGTACGTCGTACGTACGTACGTACGTACGTACGTACGTACGACGACGACGACGACGACGAGAGAGAGAGAGAGAGAGAGAGAGAGAGAGAGAGAGAGGCTTCTCTGATTTGCACAAATCATGGGGTAGGAACCCCTATTTATAGTCATGTCATGCCTAGGGTTATGCCATCTTATTTGAGATTCAATCCAGATTGTTGATCCCTTGTAATATGTGGGGTGAAAAGAGGCTTTTAGTCATAGCCCTCTGTTGCCTAAATCTTACATCATGATGTAGGAAGGATCTAGAACTCTTATCCCTTAGTTTCCTTGACCTATTCTCTAAGATACTTATCCAAAATGTTTTTTGTTTCATCCTTATCACAAATCATCTAGAAGCTTTCAAATCTTCTAGAACACTTATCCAAGCTTTCCTAACTTTCTCAAACTTTCTCCAAAATAATTATTAAATTAATCTAGTCAAAAGAAATTAGGAAAGAGAGGGGCGTGTGGGCCTGGAGCCCTAGTGGGCCCCTTGTCCACCCCTAATGGGCGCTCCCAAGTGTGGGCCCTTGACCACTAGGCCCCACGTGGGTCATAGATATTTTTGTTAGCCCAAAACAAAATTTTAAATCGTTATTAGTAGTTTTAATAATAATCATTATCATCATAGTCTTTTCCAAATTAATTAGGGTCGGCTACACGAATCTTGGTCGGCCATTCTTCTCTATTTAAGGCCCATACCCTCAGTGAGGCCATAATTCTCTATATCTTTTTGGACTACTTCCAACCACGTCCTTTTGGGTCTACCCTTGCCCTTTTCAATCCTTCCATTTGAACTAACTCGTACCTCTTAATAGGTGTTGTACTGGGTCGATGTTACACATGGCCGGCCCACCTAAGTCTACTCTCTCTTATCTTATCGCCTAGTGGTGCAATACCTAAGCTTTCTTGAATAGATTCATTTCAAATTCTATCCCTTCTCGTCTTGCCACTCTTTCATCTCAACATCCTCATACCGCTACACTCATTTTATGGGTATATTGTTTTTTGTCTGCCCAATATTTTGCCCTATAAAGTAAAGTTGGTCTCACAACTGTCTTATATAACTTACCCTTCAACTTCATTGGTATGCGGCGATCATATAAAATTCTAGTTGCACATCTCCACTTCCCCCACCCAGCTCAAATTCTATGTGCGACATCTTTTTCAATCTCTCCATTTTCTTGGATAATCGACCCAAGGTATCGAAAGTGTGGTCTTTTTTAGACTTCCTCGTCTCTACTCCTATTACTATTTAACTTGCAGTCCATATACTCTGTCTTAGTCTGACTAATTTTAAAACATTTGGATTCTAAGCATCCCTCCAAAGTTCTAACTTTGTGTTGACTCCGTTTTAGGTCCCGTTGATCAAAACTGTCATCTGCGAACAACATGCTCCACAGTATCTCATCTTACTGGTGCCTAGTTAAGTAGTTTGTAACTAAGACAAAAAGGTACAGGCTCAATGCTGACTCTTGATGTAGACCTATTGTCATTGAAAACACACTCGTCTCTCCATCAATTTTTTGTACGTTAGTTAGCTCTCCATCGTATATATCTCTCATCAGGTTGATGTAGTGTTTGGAGACTCCTTTCTTTTCCAGCACCTTCCAAATCAAATCTCAAGGTACTCTATCATAAGTTTTCTGTAGGTCAATAAAGACTATGTGGAAGTTTTTTTTCGTTCGCCCTAAACTTCTCAATCAGTTACCTAAGTCGGAAAATAGCCTCGTTTGTTGACCTTCTTGGCATAAAACGAAAATGGTTTTCAGATACACTCGTTTCATGCCTTATTCGATGCTCAATCACTCTCTCCCAGAGCTTCATAGAATGGCTCATAAGCTTGATCCCTCGATAGTTCGCACAATTCTGTATGTCTTATTTATTCTTGTAAATAGGTACAACAATACTTTTTCTCCATTTGTCTGACATTTTCTTTGTTATCAACACCTTGTTGAATAGCTTCGTCAGCTAGTCAATGCCAATCTCTTCCATGCACTTCCAAACCTCTATCGGGATATCATCTGGTCCTAAAGCCTTTCCTATCTTCATTCTTTTCAAAGCTTCTTTCACTTCTTACATCCTAATCCTACAAATGTATCTATGACCTCCGCCTTCATTTATACCAACAGTTATTATTATCGCTATGTTCCCACTATGCTCGTCATTTTATAATTTTTTTAAAATAAACTTTCCACCTTTCGTTGACCTCGTCATCCTTCACTAAGACCCTTTGATCTTCATTCTTAATGCATTTAATATGGTTTAGATCCCTACACTTTTTCTCTTTTATTTTTGCTAATTTGAAGACATCTTTTTCACCTTATCTTGTTTCCAGTTTATGTTATAGATTATAATATGCTTTAATTTTCGCTTTACTTACTATTTGTTTAGCGTTTTTCTTAGCATTTTTATTTTCTTCTAAGTTTTGTTTCTATTACACTGCCAAGTTTTATAACATGATCGTTTTTCGTTAATGGCCTTCTGGACCTCATCACTCAACCTCCAAGTTTCCTTGTCGGGATTTCTTTTTGCTCTAGATTATGCCTAAAACTTATGTTGCCACTTTCTTGATACGGTCAGCCATCTCATTCCAAATTACATTGACATCATGTTTAGAGTTCCATTTTCCTTCGTCAACTAATTTATTTTTAAATAAGTCTATTTTCTCATTTTTTAAATTCCACCACCTAGTTCTTGGACACCTATTACTTTCAACCCATCTCTTCCGTAGATGTCCATAACCATGAGCTTATGTTGGGTAGTCAAACTCTTTCTTGGGATAACCATTCAGTCTCTACATGATGGTCAATTTACCTTCTTAACTAGGATAAGTCTATTTGGTTATTATGTGATCCACTTTTATAGATTATTAGATGTTCATCTCGCTTTTTAAAGTAAGTGTTTGCTATTGTTAGGTCGTAGGCAATAGCAAAGTCTAGAATAGTCTAACCCATCTCATTAGTAGTTTTAACGTGTTTGAATGTTTTGATGCTAAAAAATACATTTATTTTGGATTAAAAATTCATGATGCAAAAAATATAATGCACTTTAAAAATTCATTGGTGTAATTTACAAATTTTCTAAAATATAAACAAACATGATTAGAAAGGCATTGGATCCATCTAGTCATCAATATGCAAAAGTACTAAGGCCCTATTTTATTACTTTTTCCTACTTTCTCTTAGAAATCCTGAGAATCCTGGAAATTTGGGAAGATATGAAAAATTGGGGGAACCACTTTCTTTTGTTTGATAATCTGACTGGACAATTGGTGCAGTGAGTTTCCCACCTTTAATAGCCTATTTGAAAAATTTTAGTCAATTTCCCACCTATGGAAACTGTGTTTTAACCATCCATTACGCAGTTTTACCTTTTTGAATGAGATATTTGGCTCTAACTCATCCATGGCCTTTCTTAAAATATAGTTGCTTCAC